ACGCGACTGCCCCCGACGCACACCATCGCGTCTGCGTTCAACTCACACAGACCCGACGCGACAACAAATCGCGTCGGGCTGCGTCGGCCGACGCTGTCTGAGTTGGCCTTTACACTCCTAATCTAATCCATCAGCCAATCAGTTACAATGTTTAGCATCCGGTTTCATAATGAATAAAGTTTTTACCATCATAAACTGTAAAATTTCCCCTTTTAACCACCACTACAGGATATATTTCTGGAGCCACCATTGATTGTTGTTTTATTTACTTACTAACTAATAGTTGTCGATGTTATTTGCTTGTCATCAATGTCTTCACGCTTAATCAAATCGATCAATCTCAATCATCGCGCCTCGGGTCTGTTGATTTGTGCTTTTTTCTTCCTGTTCTGTCAATGTTGTTATCTTCTTTTGCTATATTTTCAGCTGTCCCAACACAAGATATGATTTTTTTGGGTCTGGGCCTTCTTCCTTTTTTTAATTTTTTTTTTATAAAACATTATTTTCCCCTCATAAGCAACTGATTAATGTTGCATCATCGAGATTATACATATTGCAGATGAACTTAATAAAGTTAACAAGAATGTTTTAAAAATTGTTCAAAGTTCATTTTTGATATGCACAAAGATAGTTATTAATCTAAAACTATTAAGGCTAAAACATCCTTGTTAGCATATTTACTTTCGCCGATAACATAGAGTCCTGTAACGCGCTTTACAAAGCAGTTATCATTACCAATTTGTCAGGGAGACGAAAACAACTGTACATAATTATCTGAACAACAGAATAAGTATAACGATGGACGCATACGTTGTTACCAGTCAGCCAACAGTTGAAATCCATCGTCAAGTAGTTGTACAGGTAGGCGTAAATCGATAAAAGTACTTTGAAAGTAATAAGCTGCGGTGCAACGAATTTCTTACCGTTTTCAATTTCTTTTCTCTATGTCTCTCGTGTTATTTCAATTTTATGACCTTTAGGATCTAATGTGTAAATAACTTTCTCTATTAGATTCGATTGTCTAACTTCAAATTGAAGTTATTTATTTCAAACTGCAATAAAGTATATGATTGATTGATTGATTGGTTGATTGATTGATTGATTGAACCTCTTTTTCTGGGTTGGGAAGGACACGGTATATCCAAAAAGTGCTGACCATTCTGGTGGCGTCTCCAGTGGGTTCAGGGGTACCCCTTCCCCGTCGGAAGAAACCAGTCATTGCATTGGGGAACACTGCTTTGAGAAAACTTTTGCAGTTTGAGGTGCCTATTTTAAAAATTTGGTGAGCAAGGGAGGTGTTGACCACCTATTAGGGACCTTTCTCAACTGGCCATCCTTTAAGTTACATATCTCAACTTGTATTGTTGGTGGGCTGTAAATAATTCACGTTTGTTTCAGCTGGTACAAGCATTCAATGGCTTACAACAAAAAAACGAACCCCTTACCTATAAATGCCTTTCATACTATTACCTACAGTGAATGCGAATAAAAAAAGATTGGTGAAAAATTCATGAGTTGTAATCGTCTTCGATCTATCATTCTTTCACAGCAAAAACAGTCTGAATGGTCATCCGGACTTTTTGACTGCTGTCAGGAGCCTGTAGGCTGTAAGTAGGAGTTTGCTAAGTATGCCATTATTTCAATCGTGTGTCATGGTCGAAATAGACCGACTCCCCGAAACTCAACTGAGAGTGCCGGTGCTGGTCACGTAATGTTATTCAGCGTAATTTTAACACAGTACAGTAACATATTTTCAAATGGGATATTTTTTTTTACGCTGTGGCTATTTTTACGACGAGCTATGAAGATAGCTCCCAATGCTATTGTTACGTCGATCGCTATCGCATGCGTGATAGCGTCCCTCGTCGCAAGGGGGGGGGGGGAATAAACAAGCCTTGAACTGAGCGAACCGCGACGCTAAATCTAGCCTAAGCCTATCTCTAGGCCCAGAGAAAGGCCATACATGCTTGGTAGATGCCAGCCTATGCGGCGGGGTAGGAGTGAAATACATGTAGGCCTACGCAGCTAGGAATAGCGTACATATTGTAGGCCTACATTCATACTTGTTTATAACAGCTCCCTAGTCTGGGGTGGCAGTATAAGAAATGAATTTCAATTTTGTAAAACACAAAAATTGTGACATGAAAATTATTTAATGTGTAGCCTAGGGCCTATTTAGCCCCAAACTATAGGCTTATATACAGTATAGACCTAACGGTTAAGCCTAGAAAATTGTTTTCATGTTGAGTTTTGTGAATGCGATCCCCACTCGGTGGTGGGTATTCCTGGAAATTTATTACCAATTATGTTTATGTGTATTTGAAAAATGTATTTAGTGTGTTATTGAATTGTATTGTCACACATACACACACACCCCCCCACACACATATATATATAGGCCTATATATATAGGCCTATATATATATATATATATATATATATATACTACTTATA